TATAGAAAGGCCTTCGACCGCATTAGACACGAAAAATTGATTGAGGTGCTAAAAGAAGTAGGGCTGGATGGACACGACATAGCTATAATAAGCAATACATACTGGAACCACACAGGATGTGTTCGAACAGAAAACGGAAATACCAATAATCCGAATAACCGAAAATATCATCAGAGCTTCTCTTGAAGATCGCCCTGAAGGTGCCAGAATCAATGGAATCATCATTAGCAGAAACAGAAGACCAACTAAAAATATTGATGAACATACTATCAGAAGAAAGTCACAGACTAGGTTTGGATATTAATCTTTCCAAAACCAAAATCATGGTATTCCACAAGAACCCCCATGAACAAATTACACCCAACATACAAATCAATGGTATCACCCTTTAGAGCTCCCAAAGCTTCATATACCTGGGCAGAGAGCTAAACAGTCAGGACCACTCAAAAGAAATTAGAAGACTTATTGAAATAGCAAGATCTGGCTTCATGAACATGCGTAAAATGCTCTGTAACCCCAAGCTATCAATCACAATAAGGTTAAGAACACTAAAGTGTTATGTGTGGTCTCTACTACTATATGGCTGTGAGACCTGGACATTAAAACAGTATGACGTCAACAAACTGAATTCATTCGAAATGTGGATGTACCGCCGAATGCTAAGAATAAGCTAGACCAGCAAAACTACAAATGAAGAGGTACTGGAAATAATGAACACACGACCTCATCTGGTTAATACAATCAAAATTAGAAAGACGTCATATCTAGGACACATAATGCGCCATAAGGAATTTGAGCAGCTCCAGGTAATATTAGAAGGCAAAATCGAGGGTAAAAGGGGTATAGGAAGAAAGAAGAAATCCTGGCTCCGAAACATCAGAGATTGGACTCACACAACAGGAAATTACTTAATCCATCAAGTCCAGAACAGAGAGAAATTTGCCATATTGATCGCCAACCTCAATAGAGAAGGCACTTAGGAGGAGGAGGAACTTTAGCAAAGTAATTCAACCGCGTGAAGGAACCCTACGTCCCAAATCCATGGCTCTGCAGACTCAGTTTTTTGTTTATATCTTGGGTTCGGCCATATTTTGTTTTTTTTTATAACTTCGTACATTTTTTATAACTAACCAAACTACTATAAACTTCGGAAAGCACTCAAATGTAACACAACAGACCTAACATAAAATGAGCGTCGTTATAACTGAACGTCTGATTGATGCCGAAATAAGCAAACCGTCGCTTCTCGATGTTTTGGACTTAGCTTATTGCTAAGCCATCGGCGTAAATTATTGAGCCAAAAATTGTTTCTTCTTTATATTACTGTTCTCTAAACGGTCAGTTTTATTTCCATGAGTAGTTTTCAGGTCATTTGTCCTCTCACGTCTTATTAAAATTTATTAGCCAGCACTATTCTTCTTTTAATTTCTTCGCTGAGGTTGTTGTCTGTAGTTAGTAAAGACCATAGGTATATGAAGGTGTCCACTCTCTTCAGTTCCATACCTAGGTGAATTATTAATCTGACTCCATCACCAGCTTTCGGCTTTAACATATGCCTCCCCAATTTCTTCCAGTTCTGTCGGTCTTGAGTTTCCTGCAGCCAATTTTCAGCGATTCTTATGATGGCGTCTGTTCGTCGTGTAGGTGGTCTACCTCTGCTTCTTCTGTCTGCTCATAATCTCCTAATTGTAATTTTTTGGACTCACTGCCCGTCACTCATTCTGGCCACATGGCTCGACCAGTTCCACTTCAGCCATACTATGCGCTCTATGACATCTGTAACGTCCGTCTTTCTTCTTACTTCTTTATTTCTAACCTTGTCTCTTAGAGTTAGTCCAAGTAGCGAAGGTTTCATTCTTCTTTGAGTTACCTCTAAGTTTGGTTGTTGTAGCCTGGGGTAAGGAAAGTCTCTCGGCACCGTAAGTCGTGACTGGAAGGACACATTGCTCGAACGCATTCTTTTTCAAATAATTTGGCATGTTGCTTTTGAAGATGTCTGTCTGATAGAGCTCTAAATGCGGACCATGCTAAAGTGATTCTTCTTTACAGTTCAGCATTTTGATTGTCTCTAGCAATTTGAATTTCATCACCTAAGTATTTATATTTATGAACTAATTATATTTCGTTGCAGTCGACTTTTGGATTTTCGCTTGGTACCACATTTGTCATGTATTGTATCTTTTCAAAATTGATGTTTAAACCAACTTTCTTACAGATGGGATCTAACTCAGTAAGCATATTTCCAATCTCTTTTAAGTAATCTGTTATTAGAACAATGCCGTTCGTAAGTCGTAGGTGAAAGAGCATTTCGCCATTGACATTGATTCCCTTGGCGTCCTTGCCCATTGATAATTATCAAGTTAGATTAGTCCCATTAATCAGTGCAGACATCCTTAATGACCGAAATGCGTTAGTCAGAGCTTTTATGGATCTAGCAATGATGTCAATGTCATCTGCATATCCAATTACCTACTTTTACAGATTTATTAAAGATTGTACCATTCGTATTAGTCTGAGAATTTTAAATTACTTTTTCCAGTGAAAGGTTAAATATAAGACATGATAGTCCACGTATCTATTTTACTCCGTTTTTACAACGAAAGAGCCTTTAAATCTCTTTCTAGACTCCGACTTTGCTACCTATGCATGCGGATGTTCATCTGCAGCTTTTAAATCCACAAATAGGTATATGATGGTTTGACTTTGAACTCTAGTTTAACTGTGGTGTTTTCTCAAAAATTTGTGTAACTATAAAGATTTGGTAGGTTGTTAATTTGTTGAGGCTGCACTGATATTCCTTCATTATTTGTTAAGAGTAGAGGAGCATTCTTCTGTATGGTACATTTGACAGTATTTTGTATGTCGTATAGAAAAGGGTGATGTATTCACAGCTATTAAACTTATGCATTTTATTAATTGAAAATTAGTAGAAATTGGTGCGGAATTATATAAAAATTTATAATTAAATAATTCAAAATTTCATTAATATTTATTTTTTTTCAAATTTTTCAGATAACCAGTTTAAATAGTTTTTGTATTATTCATTGTAACTAATTGAACATTTATCATGTTTTTGAATAAATATGTAAGTATTATTCCAAATTAAGTAAATGTGACAAATATATTTCTAATACATTGAATGGTTCTTATCATCAATCATTATTAAACCAAAAAATCTGTTCGGAAATGATAACATATGAACACATCACCATACAGTATTATCACAAGAAATGGGGTGATGTGTCTTATCCTATCCAGTGGCGTCAAGTGGACTATGATCAGGTAACATTTTAATTCGTTTTGATGTTAGTTGCTTTTATAATATTTTAAGATTTATAATCGATAAGAAAGTTGAGGTTGACTATACCGAAAAAATATTTGTTAGCATAGTATACTGATGATTCTAGGACCATAACTAGGACTGAGAAAGGAGTAAAAGTGGAAGTTGTAGCTTCTGATTTTATTCCTCTTACGAATTTCCACCGTGTTTTTTTGGATTATGACGGTAACTTGGGTACTCAACATATCTATAGACGAAAACAAAAAGGTGTGTGGTTTTGACTCTGCATTGAATAATTTTGATTTTGAGAACAGCCATTATGTTTACGTTTCAACAAGGTCGCACTTGCCATTGTAGTTGTAGTTGTCGTATGCAACGCTTCTTGCTGGTGCTTTACTTCAAGCACCAACAAGAAGCATTACTATCTTGATACCCAGTCATAGACCTCTCTAATTTTCCGAGATGAGCACCATCGAGTGTAATCTAAAAACGGCTGTATTAGAATACATCCAGGTTTTATTAGTCTTTTCTCGGTATGCGTAACTGTGCTAGGATTGACCAACAGCGTCCCGTATTCTATAATTTCTATGGCTTCTCGTAAGACCTTAGATTGGACCAGGAACAAGCAAACAAAGTATCCCATCATCCGGAAATTCTGGAACCAGATGTCTTTACAGGCGATATTACTACTTCTACCAACTTGAAAAAGCATTATTGATAATAATTAGTCAACAAAATCTAAGAAAAACTAAGCACTCGAAGGTTTCTACAACAGATAAAGGAGGCGTCAGCTCCATTAGATCAATTGACAGTCAATAGCTGGCTATTACAAGATGACTCGATATAAAATCAATTTACCGAAAAATCTGGTAACTAAATTTTTTTGCACTTTAATCCGCCGACTCATTATTACGTTAACCGAAAAATATAAGCAAACAAGATTGCAGTGTTGCCAAGAATGGGAATACTGCGATCAGGAAAAGAATCGGTCGTAATTAGTGACGAATTTCGATTCTGTATGAAATTCTGTGTGAAATGAAAGATAACATAGTAGAAGTTGATTATTAAATTAATCTGCCATTATTTTGCCTACGTTTATGCAAAAAATATTTCATCATTATACGTGGAAATGGTTTTTTAAAGTTTAAAATATATTTATACTTTTTGAATAAGCATTGCCCCCTGCCATAAAAACTGCATATGCTACGCCACTGCTTTAAAGAAATTACACTGAAGTCGATATGAGTAAGGGATTTGGGAGTGGGGAGACAACGTGGTGTGATGATTTCAAACTGTCATGATCATGCGTATGTATTTGTGTTGAGGAGCATTGCCAGCTCTTACAAAATTTCTGTTAAAATTAATCAATTTATTCTTTTTATGATATAAAAGACTATTATAAAATACTAGAAAATGTAAATGAATTATTTTTTGATCTTAGTTTATGACTTTTAATTATTAAATTGCAAATAACTAGAATAAAATAAAAATTCATAGATACAAAAATAAAAAAAAACATGTTTTTTAATAAACCAACTTAGGATTATAAGGGGTATATTCTTTTTTTTTTAACGTTTAAGCATATTCCATGAGTTATTATGTCTGATTTTTGAACAGAAGTTTTAAATAATGTAGTCTATATTTTAGCGGAAGACAATGACAGTTGGATATTTGGCAACGTAGCGAGCGTAGAATCGGCTATTTCCACTCTTGAGAAATCCGTAATTTTAATTTAGTTATTGAAAATACACTTAAAGGAGGAAGACTAGGTCGAATTTCTCAAAGCAAAATTTTGTTTCTTGGTGATAAAGAGTGCTGTGATTATAAATTTTAAAAAAGAATAATTTTATACAATTTTATTTGGCATTATAATTTTAAGAAAAATGCCGGAAAACACTTTACAGAATGGGGATAAACAGTTTACGAGAGTTTGGTGCGACGGATGGTAAGTCCTTTTACTAAATTAGTAGTTACAGAAATTTAAAAATGTATCTGTTCTCAAACATTCTATAGTTGTCAAAAGTGGAGCTTCCCTTTGAGTGTTAATCCTAGCAAATTTTTGGGAGATTTTGGGTGTGGGGCTGCCTAGAAGTAGTAGAAGTATGTACGAATAATTGTAAGTTTCCCATAAACATGAATTGGAATTGATAGGTACGTGTTGTGCCGATATATATCTGAAGAAAGTAAACTGTGACATCGATTTTAGGTAACAGAAAATGTGTATGTATTTCGATGTTTTTTTTTAAAACATAAATTCCAAATCAAAATTTGACTTTTCAAATTACACCCACAGTTAGTTTTATCAATGATTGGACATTGACGTCAACTTTAGGTGTCTTCAGTGGTGTACAAATTTAATGTGTTATAGTAGTTGGACTGCCAGGTTCACAATTTTTACAAAAATCATTTCATAGTTATCCCATATAATCTCAACCCATTTATATGCCAAAACAGGTTTTTGCATTTTAGTGGATATTAGTAGCCATTCTAAATGTCTACAATTTTTTTTTCACCTTTTGATATTTGTTGATAAATTTTTACTATTATCCCTGTATGCACAAGTTTTTAAAAGCACTCATCCTATTTTTAATATGGATTACCATTTCAAATATTCTCTGTCAATATTAGAAATCCTAAGATTTCCTACTTTCTAAAACCATCTTTCTATTCTCTAATGTTTTCCCACTATCTTCCTTTCGCCCTCATTGTTTTTTTACATTTTTATACTTTTCATTTTCCCTATTTCTTCATTGTTTACTTGTTAGTTATCTTTTTACATCCTTTTTCTTTTGATATTATGATGTAATATGTTGTGAATTGTTAGCTTTTTTGTATATTTTACTTTCAAGTTTCACATAAGTAGCTCAATATATGATTTTTGAAGTTTCTGGAGAAGTGTTTAATATTTTAAACTGTGTTTCTTAGGAGGGTGTGTAAGGAAACAGAGTGCACCAGGACCAGGATGTCTGAAATATGTATGCCATGACCACAAGATCGTTAATATATAGCTTAAAATATAGCCAGATAGTTGGCAATTAACATCACGAATAATTTAAACAAGAACAAGACCTTATATAACAAGGAGAAGATATTCTATATCTTCCTCTATACTTTCATTCATTTTATACAATTATTATATTCTTTATACATATCCTATATTTGTTTTAATATTTTATCCCTTGATTTTCAGCCCTCTTCTAACAAAGTCCACTAAAGCAGTTCAGCTATAGCACCTTTCAACATTTATCAACCTTAATTATAGTCACTCGTTTTATGTCATCTGTCCATCTCCTTGGGGGATGACCTCTGTTTCTGTTAGCTTGTATTCGGGGTCTCCATTCCAAAATTCTTTCTTTTTCTTCACTAGTAATCAACTGATCTTGCTACATGACCTGCGCAGTTCCAGACAATAACAGCTTTATTTCACTGAGCTGGTGTAACCTCTTTTGAAAGGTATAAGCTATATAATTGTGTCAATGCTGTCAATACTGTCTTTCCTCCTGCTTTAACTGCCTCAATGACGATTTGGTCATCACCAGCTGCTTTATTGTTTTTCATTTGATTTAATGACTTTGAGACTTCTTTGATTGTTATTTCTGGGATATCCTCTGAACCCACATTCTGGACTTTTCTTAACTTGGTGCCATCTTTCTTACCCCTTTCTCTATATAATTCTGTATAAAATTCTTCAACTACCTTAATTATCTTATCTTTATCTGTTACCACTTTTCCATTTCGATCTGCGAGCTTAACAATATTCTTCTTACCTAGAGCTTGACATCTCTTCAGCACCTTTAAACTTATATTTTCCTCGACAACTAATTTTTTTTATGTTATATTGTCGTACGTCCTTTCTCACTGCTTTATTAATATCTTTATTAATTTGTTGTAGTATGCATGCATTCGTATCGTTTTTATTCTTAAGTTCTCTTCGTGTCTCCATAAGTCTTTTTGTCTCTGACTGATTTTTTCCTCCTTATCTGTCCTAGGATTTGTTTTGTATAGGTTTTATAGAGCTTCCCAAACACTTACAGTGTTCTTACATTTCTTATTTTTAATTTGGGTGCAAAAAATGAGCTTTAACAGTTGACATAATAATCTGAAAATTAAAATAAGAAATAACTGCTAACTATTGAACAAAAAATTCTATAGTTAGTAAAACAAGTAAAGGCACCACTTTGGTTTTAGAGATTTCATTTTGTCACACTCGTTTGTAACATGCATTAAGAGTTCAAAATATTGTCTTGCAATCCTAATATATGTGGATGTATTCAAATATTGTGTTTTTTCAACTCTTAAAACAATCTCATGACACAACTCTGATTACTATGCAAATTATTTGCTTTGTTGTTTTGTTCCACCAAACCAATGTAGCATAATTACATATGGTTCTGACACAAGTTACCATAGCAGAGATAATTGGACACCTCCTATAGAATAACCTTTGGCTGCTTTTGTAGTGGTTGACTGTTATCTGGTTGTTAGAGAGACATTTTTTGATTGTTCTGACCCCAATTGCATCTTTAATCCTGTTTCAGTAGGTAACTAGTCTCGCTGCACAATATTCCAAGGGGGAATGACAGCTTTACATGCTGTCTGAAGTACAGTGACTGCTCATCATTTTTCAAAATGAAAATGTGTTGTTGGTGCTGAGAATTAAACTTGAGTGCTCTGGATTAGAAGACCAGTATCTTGCCCACTGTATTCTATACATATTTATATTCTACATTGCCAATAGTTAGCATGGATTGAATCCATTTAAATATATAATTATTTAAACCTTTTCCTATCGCATCATCATTCTCCTTGTTCAGGTGCTATGCTGTTCTAGACTATTAAAAACCAATTGCATGATCTTTATTTTGTCTACTACTGCTGCTAGAGTAGTGATCTGGTGCTGTCTTCTGAATAGTGATCTGTTGCTAATGAGGTGTTATCAATCAAATTTCCTCTGTATGTCCATAAACACACAGCTCGTTTTGATGATATAGCTTTTTCAAGATCTTTAACAAAGATATGGTGAATATTCCTGGTTGATCCACAAATTTTTCTTGATGGCGCAGTATACTTGAAAGTTATTAAGCTTATTTACCTGTAATTTTCCATACTTTTTATAATAAATGAGTCTGGAGTTATAGGTCATTGGTTCCTCTTGAGTATATTTGTCATTCTTAAGAATAAAGGAGACTAATTTTTTTCCATTATTTTTGAAGTACAGCCCAATTCAAGTTTATATTAAAATAAGCTTTTTCACAGTCCTCAGGCGGATATTTATTTCGACATATATGTATTTTATATGCTATATATGTATAAATTTTTGTAACATTCCTTTAATCTGTTTTATGTCTCAATTGATAATTTTTGTATAATATTTACTATTATTAATTTTAGTCAAGTAGGTATGTGGAATTTTCCTATTATAAATTGTCGTTTTGTTTCATAATCTACGTTTTAATAAATGAAAGAAATATTTTATTAATGTATTACTCAATGCAAAAATGTTTTTGATAAGAATCTTTAGACTTGCGTTTAAAATATCTCATTTTATCTTTTTATTTAAATCGAATTTGAATATAACTTTTCTAAATATCTACAAATCGCAGTTACAAACATTAAAATTGATAATAACAGACGAGAATTATTATAGCATCTAAAAATTTATTAATGAAAACAAAAAAAATTGTGAATAAAATTTTAGTTTAACAATCAGTTTTTATAACGTATATAATAATGTACATTGTGAACTGAATGAGTCAAAATCAATACTTCTAAATATAATGAATACAATGGACTCCATGTTGTGTCTAGATGTCTATCTTTCAGCTAACAGTGTTAACAATTAATAATTAATGTACAAAAGTGGTAAATAAGATATTGAATTTATAAGTTTGTTACCAATTTTCTTCATTTAACTCTTTGTAACTCCAATAAATGAATATACCTTTACTGATTTTAATAAAGACAGATAAATCTTAAAACCAAAGGCGTTATGAAATAAAAAAATAATTCTAATAAGAAATAAAAAGAATTTCTGACCAAGATAAAGTTATTTATTCAAAAATAATTCGTTAGGTGTTTCTTTTAACTAATAATATCTTTAAACTGTCACCTCTTTTATTCCTAAACGATTATAAAATTACGTCTTATATTTTCATCAATCTCAAAAGCAAGTTTTGGACGTAGAAACAATTTTGGAGTGACACAGATGTGGAAGTGACCATAAAGTTTTTTTATTATTTTTAGCATATTCCTACAGACGAAAATCATTTGGGGCTAAGTGTGCAGAACGAGGTGGTTACTGAATTCTTTTGTTCATCTGAGGAATAGCTCTTTCAAGAAAAGTCGTAACATTTACTTTTCTTATAATCAATGTCGCAATAACAACCAAGTATTGTTAAAATTTCTTAAAATTGTGGAGGCGCTAATAACATGATTCTTGAGTTAAGTTATGTATTCCGGTCCTGTCAAAATTGCTTGATAAAAATGGACCGATTTTATGTATCTCAGTGATACTAAACCACAAATTTAATATCCGGGGAGTTACTTCTGTATAGGGCCTAGGTATATACTGTATACCTACTCGCTTTCATGAAGACGTATTTATATTAACAATCCGAGAGGTAATTCTTGAAATTGTGTCATCTGTCCGTATATCTGTCTACCAGTATGATAACTCTGGAACGAAACTTCTCAGACTCCTGAAACGTAGAACATAGGTTCCTTTTGTCCCAAGGAAGATCCCTATTGAATTTGGGACTAATAGAATAAATGTCCCAAGTTACAAATAAAATGAAGAAAGTTACATATAACTCTGGATAAATAGGACGTAGAGTCTTGAAACTTGGGATCTAGTTCCTTTGGGGCATAATATGTACTAGGAATAACACGGTAAATGCTAGGAAATTGCTAGTAATCTTTAGATTACAACACGTTGGACTTTTTCGG